TAGGGGTGCTCATTTTTAGCCCACCCTAGCCTACACATATTTAATATATGTAATTTACACATAATGTGTGAACATGCAAATATAATATTTTGTGTTATGTTGTATATTTTATATATGAATATTATAATATGACATATAATTCATATATACAATGTATAAAATAAATTTAATATGCAAATTATATCACATAATATATAAAATAGTATATATATAATTTACACATAATATATAAAATAAATTTAAACATATGTTATGTTGTTTGCCCCTACCCCTTGTAGCCCCTTCAACTCACATGTCAAACATTAGTTTTCTTTTTCCCAAATTTTTATGTCATTTTCATGAAGAATAAAAATTGATTTTTATTTATAACACTTGTTTTTTAATATGAAGAATATATAATATAAGAGATGTACCCAAGTTTTGCTACATTTTAAAATTTTTATAGCCTTTTGTATTTCTATCTTTTTTTTATTACTTTAATTATGGCATCATAAGTTTACTTATTTGACCTATATAGCTTAATTGTTGATCCACCATGCCACCTAGATAAAAAAACATTTTTATTTTGGGTCAGTTTTAAATTTTTGTATTCCATTTCTATCATTAACAAAAACAATTCTTATTTTTACACTAATTTTTGGTTAATATGATGACATTATAATATTGGATATGTATCAAAACGTTTTTTTACAAAATTTTGTATTTGTTTTTTTTTGTCTTCCTTTTTTTTAGATATTTATTATCTAATTATCATATCATGAGTTGAACTATTTGATCCAGAAGGCCAGACTGTTCCTGCCACCTAGATGGGAAAACAATTTCATTTTTGGGTCAATTTTAAATTTTGTATTTCATTTACTTCATTAATAAAACCAATTATTGTTTGTGAGATGTGCTCAAAATTTCCATAACTTTTTGCATTATAGTGATTTTATGTATTTTTTTAAGTTTTATTATTTAATTATGTCATCATGGGTTAATCTATTTGATCTTTGAACTACTAACCCACCATTGCAATGGAAAAATAATTTTATTTTCAAGTTGATTTTAAATTTTGTATTCCATTTCTATCATAGTAGAAATACTTCTTATTTATCATATTTTATGTAACATGAACAATATATAATATTAAAAATGTCCCCAAAATTTTTTACAAATTTTATTTTTTTTTGCTATTTTTTATATTTTATTAATTGCAAAACCTCATTATTTAATTATGACATCATGGGTTGACTCATTTGGCCCATGTTGAATTGCTTATCCACCACCTAAATGGAAAAAAAATGGTTCTATTTTCATGTTAGTTTTAAAAATATGTGTTTTTATACTATTGAAATTATCATATGTGGATTTAGTTAATAGAATTCAATAACGATAAACAAAAATACCTTTCTATAATATTTTTGTATACTTTTTTTTAATTATGGCATCATGACTTAATCCATTCAACACAAATGGTTGAATTGCTTACCAATCACTTAATGAAAAAAAAAGTTATTTTAAAAAATAAATATGGGTTTATATACTTTTAAATTATTATGTGTGGACTTAATAAATGTAATTCAATGACATAAAACAAAATTACCTTGAATAGAGAAATTAATGAGAAAATGAGAATTAATACCTTTAATTCAAATTACATTTTCTATCCTTAAAATACAAAGGGACTAAACTCAAAAGAGGGATATTTTAGTAAAAAAACGCCGAGAAGCCTTGAGAATTCCCACTTTTTATAATAGTATATAGATATAGATTATTACTTATCTCCTTTTGGATTTTCTAACAACTAAAGGTTAAATTATATATTTTGGGAGAAATATAATAGAAATGCAAGTTGTTGAGAATATTAATTGTGACCTCCGTTCTATTGGTACAAATTATTTATTGGGGTTTTTATTGTTCAATCCTCCTATATATATAAATATATGTTAAAAACCTATGTCATATTCATGAGGAGGAGTTTATCTATCACACCACACCCATAAACTACCCCAAAGTTTTACAAAATTGACTAACTCTACCACTATTATTTGCAAAATGACACAAAGCATCCCTGAGTTTTATACTTTCCATATTGGAATTTTGGGAAAATCTATGATACGGGAAAGAGTTTTGACCAATCAAAACCCACCCATGAATTTTGATGAACAACACCTGATTTGCTAATACGTTTATGATTCCAGTTTATTGGTCAATTGTTTTTCGGATATCAAATCTTTTCCATACCATAGTCGAACCCTATAATTCCAGAGGGAAATGTAGTTGCTGCTTGAATTCTATCGTTAGACGTTGGTGCTGCCGGTTACCACTACCAGTGGTCTGGTTAAAGACTAGGGTTTAGATGAGACAGAGCAATGAGGATTTCGGATGATAGAGGAGAAGATGAATTTGTTTGTTTGAATATCTGATTCAACCATGCAACTCACCGTTAAGACAAGAATCCCATTAGTTTTCCTGTTAAAAGTACAAGCCGACGTGTTCAAAATTTATTGGAGGGTGCACGCATCTTGTGGACCAAAGGGTCCACCGAATCCGAGCTCGTGTATCAGCCTATCAGGTGTTTCACTACTTAGTAATTTTTTTTTTCAAAATTACATCAGGGGGTCGATTTTAAGCATGCCTATCCACTGAACATTGTTAAAGTCTGAAACACCCTTTATTTGGGGTTTCAGACAGCTCTCAATACAATGTGATATGCTTGATATAGGCATATCATATCAAAATTTTGAACCTTCAATAAGCGTTAATCTCTCAGCACCTTGTTCAATGAGGGAAAAAAAGAATCTGAATTGCCTGTGAATATCTTATTTTTTAACTCCTATATTTTCTTTAATTTTTTTTCAATCACATTTTGCTCAAAACTGTAATCCTCTTCTTTGCTCTTTCAAGCTCCTCTATTTGTTTATTTACTGCGTGGATTAAATAGTATTCTCTCTTGCTTTATTATTCATCGAGGTTAGTTCATTAACCTAATACTTCAAACTTGAAACTATTGTGGAACTTGAGTTATTCATTATTCTTTTGCTTTCTTTTTTTTTTCTTTTTTCCTTTTTAAAAATCACTTCAAACCATTAACTCCTTGAAAAAAATACTTCAGCAATGCTGGGATTATTCTGGAAACAACTTACTTCTGTCATAGATCTTCTATCAACTTTTCTTGTTTTGAGGATTTAAATCCTTAACTTTCTATATTTTTGTCCTAAATCCATATTGATCGATGAAGGGAAAAATGCTTTCCAACCGAGAATCCACCTTGTTCAATGTCACATGACTTTAATCTCAATACATAAAATGAAGAAAAAAAAAGAAAAAAAAAGTCTATTGTTAGATTTCCAAGCTTTACTAATAGAAAAAAAGGGGTTTTGGTGGATATTAGAGGCAATGTAAAAGAAAAGAATGGGTAAATTTGGGTTTTTGAAATATTATAACAATTATGTGCTATTACATTCCATGTGCACCAATGGTAGAGGTAGAGTTAGTCAATTTTAAGTCATTTTTAGTAGAGATAAACTAAGGTGGTGTTTGGGACCGATGCTGATTTTTCAGAAATCGGCACCACACTAGTGTCACATTAGCAATTAAAAAATCATTGATTATTTTGGTGTTTGGTTGGCTGATTTTTAAGAAATTGGCAAATTGGTCAAAATAACTATTAAATTTGGGCTGAAAAAAAGAGATAAACAAATTTAATGATTCATCTTTTCAAGGTGATTGTGGTTATTTTGGGATGATGTGGCATTTGACATGGATAAGGGAGATAATTCCCATAAACACAAAAATCATTATGAAGCAAACTTATACAAAATTTATAAGAAATTGACTGACGTGATAGCAATGGTGTCAAACAAACAATTTCTTTGGTTTCTAAGAAATCAAAGATCTCAAAAGATAGAGATTTTTAATAAATCTCATTAGAGGAATCGGTATCACCACAAAGCTCAAACATATCTCCTCCTCCATATCCTCCTCTACTTTCTCAAACATGTGCTTACTTATTTTTAAATAATTAAAAATATAACAACTCAAAGTTCAAATCTCATGAGTCTTCATAGTCTCTCATAAAATCCATTTTACTCTCTAATAAGGCCATTCTTAAATCTCTCCCTTTCTCTAACTATACTAGTCAACTTTTGTAACTTCTCCCCTTCCCCCATTAAATCTATATTCTCCTCTTAAACTTTTCTCAATCCCTTTTGACTCTCTCTCTAATAAAGTAGGGGTATAAATTAGATGGATTGGGTTGGGTTGAAGATCAACCTAAATATGAACCTTGACCGGACACAAATTAATGCCAAAAAACCCAAATTTGCCCACAAGTATATGGGGTGAATCAATCTAAAGAAATAATTGCTCATTTTTATTGGGTTATTAGGTTTTTCCCTACGTTTTTATTAATCTAATTTAATGTAATTCGATAATAGTGTACTAAGAAAAAACTTAATGTGAGTCTTTGGTTATCTTCATCAGTATTTTTTTTTAAATTTTGGGGGAGGGGAGTGTCTCTACTTCAACTAGCTAGATAATGTATCAATTAAGCCACCGTTGGTTGGTTTATGTGCAAGCTGTATACAAAGAAAATTTTAAAGCTAAACAACTAAAAAAGAAAAATATTTTTTACTATTCTATATGTAAACAAGTAGAAATATATAAAAAACTTTGAGAAATCAATATTAATCCAATTTTCTATCTATAAAACTATATTTTTAAACAGCATCCCGTGTATAATACGGATCACCGCTAGTTTAAATAGGTACCAAAAAAACATCTTCTTAGTCCATTTGATAAAATTTAGGGCTAATTTTAAGGGATTTCCCCTTGATAATATTGGTGATGCGAATCGTGTCTCATAAAACGCTTCGCCACGCATTTACCAAAATACCCATAAAATACACGTGTCACCCCGTAAATGGTTGACTTTGTGCTGGGTGGAGCTCCCATCCGTCCCGCAAGCCGCAACCTAAAGAGAGTCGTAACTCGTAACTCGTAATTGCGGTAAGACCAGGAGAAGAATTATTTTTTGCAGGACAGCCTGAGAAGTACTTTACAACTCATCGCAGAGAAGGAGAGAGAGAGAGGGAGAGGGAGAGGGAGAGAAACGAAACCTAGACTTTACTTGCATGTTTCGTATTGTCTCTCTGGCTTGAATCCCATCATGCCAATCGATCCCTCCTATCTATTGCCATAGTTCAATCTGTCGGACGCTGCGGTCTCTTCTTCGAGTTGGGATCTCAGCACAAAGGAGAGGAAGGGAAGAAGAGATGGAGTTCGAGAAATCAGCAACAACAATTCGGTTCCTCTGAGGTCGGGCTCAGGTTATAAACTAGTTTTGTTAGGATTGATATTTGGTGGTGTTTTCAAAGAAGAACATAATCTGGAATCAATTGGAACACATAAGAGAAGTAAAATTTAGGATTGTAAACTTGATCCTTTCTTTGTTTTCTCTGTATTCTATGTGATGATTACATATCTATGGTATTGTCTTCCGGTTTATGTGGATTTAGCTATTTTCCTTTTCAAATGGTGTTTAATGATCCTTGGGTTCTTTCTCTTATTGGAGCTCAGTGAGCTTTCTTCTTCTTCTTCGTCGGGAACTCGGGGGGGGGGGGTTGATCTTTGTTTATTAGAATTCCATTGATGAGTCCAAGCTAAGGACGACTTAAGCCCCACTTACGCGCCCCAGGTTCATTCAGGAGCCTTTGCATCTCATAAGTGTAGCTGCACGGAGATTGTGACCTCGGCGCCTCGCTTAGGCTGGTTTTGATCCTTGTTTTTTATTTTTTATTTGTTTTGTTCTTGCTTCTTTAAGTTTTGCATTCTGGCTTACGCTTTACCCGTTAGTCTACATGCCTATCTGTCAAATTCCTAGGAATTAAAATTGAATGATTATTAGTATCACATGGTTTCCGTATTTTCTATCTTTTTTTTTTTGATTTATAAGCGATTGGATTAGAAGAAAGAGTGCAGCAGTTTTAACTGTATATTTAAAACTTAACCTTTATTTTTCTTCAACTTTGAAGCGATTGGTCTTTCTTCCACATTTTGGTTGCTAATTCCTTTTTTCTGTTTGTTGTTTGCATAATTTATTGAATTTGAATTGTTTTTCTGTAATTCTAATTGGCTTTTTGAGTTACCTTAACTTGAAAGACTTTCTAATTGAGTTGTTTGGAGTTTCCAGTAGAGTAGGGTGGTTGAAGTGGCCAAGCGCATTTAGTGTTCTATGATTGACATATGCCGATGAGACCAAAAGGAGAGCTTTATAGGATAGCTACAAGATCAGCATCACTATTTGGGGTGGAGTGTTGGACAATCAAGAAATAACATTTTCAAAAAATAAGGCGTATGAGGAGGTACAACTTGATGAAACACATCAGATTTGTCATAATGTTTGGATTGGGGCCATTGGGCTCTTGATAGGAAGATTGATATGGCCAAACCTCTTGTGCTATTTTTCTTGGGGAGGTGAAGGTAAATGCTAGGGAGATTTTCAAGTGGTTAGAAGGGGAGGAAAGGAGATTGAAGCAGTTAGTTATTTATGGTGGGGGTGGAAGAATGTAAGCATCCTTTGTTGACATGTTTGTAGCTGAGGAATCTCATCATTAGGACAATGCTATATGTAGTTTTCATTTGAAGGTTCCTGGATAGGGACTTGCAATATTCTGAAAATTGTAATCATAAAGAAAGTTGAATCGAATCGAATCATGAATCGTATCATAAATTGCAAGGCTATTTCTATTTTCTACAAAGTTGTAAAAAAATTAAATATATTGATATACTAAAAGGATAAATATTTATAAGAAAGTGATTTTACCCTATTTTTAATCTATATCTACCATATATGTACATAAAACCATAGAACTTACCACTTCTACAATAGAAACCTAAGGTGATATAATCAAGGTTGAGTTGAGAATCAAATAATCCACATGCAATGCCTCTTTGACCTACATATGATGGAAAATAAACTCAATGTCTAGTCTTAAATAACATAAATAAATCATTTTCTGGTTAGGGTTTTAAAACAAGAATCTTTGACAAAACTAATTATAAACAAAAAAAAAAAGACAAAGTAGAGAACTAATTCTTAGATAAATTTATTTGAGTTGTAGTGAATCATAGGAATCGTATAAATCATAAGATTTATAAATCAAATCATAGCATTCAAACAAAAACCGTAAATTTTTGCATAAAGGATTCAAATCAAGTCTTCTGGGATTTACGATTCAAATCGTAAATCATAAGAAGAAAGAGTGAGCTTTTGAAGAAAATTGCATTTATTTTGTAGGGTAGCTGCTTGTTTATATTAAATAAGCAAGGAGAAAAAGGAAAATGTTACATAGGATTGTTCTTGAAGAATGAATTAAGTGTTGGAATCTAATGTGTGTTTGACATGGATACTTATCCATTTAAAAAAGTCCATGCCACTCTTGTAAGGTGTACAAGCTTCAACAGTACATTAATGAATTGCCTCTAAAATCATGCAAGCGTACTAGACTTTCATGAGTCTTCTCAAGTCTCAAGCAGAAGTATGAAATGTTTAGCTTTAATTGAGAATCCAGGGCTTTCACTAGGAAATTTATCTTGGCAGGTGGGGGATTAAGTTGCATTTGTGGTTACTTAGTGATGCATATATGGAAGCAAGGAAATAATCCATGGAGAAATAAATCAGTTCTTTGATTCCTAAACCAACTTTAGAATTTTTTGTTGATCTGGTATTGTTATTTTTGGAGTTATTTAATTTAGGTTGTGTTTGAATAAGTTTCAGGATTTGTGCTTTTAAAATCCAAAAAGCACAAAGCCCCAATTTTAGGCTTTGCAAAGCTTAAAAGTGTGCCTTTAGATTATAATGTTTTCAAAAGCAACTCTTACCAAACGCTCAAGAGCACTTTTAGGCTCAATTTTGTTTCCACAACCCAAAGCTCAAAAGCAAAGGCTTATCAACGGAGCCTTATTTTCTAGATCTTTGGTGTCTTAGATATGGGGGATGGATGAATGGAACCTGGGTTTCACAATGGTTATTGAGAGGTGACTTACCTGGGATCAAACTCAGTCCTTTAGTTGATGATGAATGATGGCTTCTGATTGTCTTTTCCTAGGTCTGTGACATTCTTTTTAAAGAGAAAAAAGCGAAAGCCCATGTACAAAAGGATTGTGTACAATTGGACATACAGGTATATGAAGATTCTATCTCTGTATATCTTTGTAAATAGGGGTGGCAAGTTCCAACCCAACCCGTTGAACCTGCCCAGCCCACCCATTTATTAATGGATTGGGTTGTGTTTTTTCAATGCCGGGTCAGTAGCGGGTTGGTTAATTAAAGCGACGCTTAAAGGATTGGATGGGTTGGGTGATGGGTACCCAATGGGTATCCATTGATATATTAGGAAATTTTGTATTTTGATTTCTTGCTTTTGAATCTTTTTTTCCCGATTTTCTTTCATTCCTCTCTCTCTGCATTCCAACCCTAATCTGTGGTTGAAGATCACGGCAAACAGTTTCCTAACCCTAGACTACCTCAGTCTCTCTCTCTCTCTCTCTAGTTATCCAAACCCTAACCAACACGAACTCAGTGGCAGCGGTCCTTCCATACACGAACTAAAGCTGCTTCAATGACAACAGAGTTGATTCATTTATCTTCGTTGTGATCCATTCCATATTTCTCAAGGACATGCAGAAGCCGCTACTTTCAACCCACAAATTAATCTTTTTGGATTAATTGTACAAAGTAGGGCAAGAACTTGCAGAACTACTGAGTTATCCCTCCATACACTAGAGTTATTTCTTCAAGTTCACCTGGGTAAAATCAAAGTGATGTCATGGCATTAGTTTGCCCTGCTGGTAAAAGAAGGTGCTACTTTCCTATGATGTTAATAAAATCCAGAACTCAGCATCACTTCTTTACCTCTATTGATGGATTGATAGCTTATCTAATTTATTTTCAAATCCATCGTTTATTTACTCCTGTTTCATTAGTTTTTTCTGATTTATTTTTCAAATCCATTGTTTTTACTCATGTTTCATTTATTCTACTGGATCCAATGGGTATATTCATTCAATCCTCCCTTATTAATCAAATCTTATTTGTAATCTTAAATTAAATGTTTTTTCTTTCACTGTCCCTTTCTGAATGTACCAGAAGTTCTTTCTATAATTTCTGTTATAGTTTTATAATTTTTATGCTTTCCTATAATTTCTGTTATTTTTTGTAATTTTTCCTGAAATTTATATTTTTCTATAATTTTTGTTATCTCTTTTGCAGTTTCTGTTATTTTTTTTTTGTATTTTTATATTTGTAATAATTTCTGTTATTATTTCTATGTTTTTTCTATAATGTTTGTTATTTTTAGTGGTTTTTATATTTTTCTTCATTTTCTATGTTTCTGCAACTTCTGTTTTTCTATGATTTCTGGTTTTTCTTTCTCTTTTGTAATTTCTATTTCTATTTCTATTGATTTTCTTCATTTTTGTGTTTTTATGATACTGGTTATATATATATTTTCAATTTTAATTATTTTTCTTAATTTTTATATTCTTATGTAATTTATGTTACTTTTGTTTCTGCATTTTTTGTTTTTTATAATTTCTGTATTTTCTGCAATTTATATTATATTTTCTGCAGTTTATGCTATATTATTTTCTATATTTTCCTTAATGGGTTGGGGTGTTGGGTGGGTTAGATTGGGTTGAGGCGTGTTTGGGTGCCAACCCAAACCATTTAATTTTATCTAAATGGATTGTTAATGGGTTGATGGGTTAGATGGGTTGGGTTGAAGCTCAACCCAAACCCACCCAATTGCCACCCCTATTTGTACACATATTTTCAAATGCCAAAATAGGGCTGTGTGCCATTCCAAAAAAATTCTTTGCGAATAGAATTCCATGAAGTGCTAGTTATGTTAGCCATAGGTGGAGTTTGGGAGTGCTTATTTGAAAAATAAGTGCTCAAACAGGGGTAGTATAGGTATTTTCAAAATGACATGGTGGCCCAAGACAGGCCAGGCTGGAAAGGAAACAAGCACTTAAAAATAAGCCTGAAATTTGGGCTTCTCAAATAAGCATTTATTCTTGGGAATAAGCACTTATTCGGGCTTATTTCCCTAACACAAATAAGTGCTTATTGGTGTGATCCCATCCCAAAATAAGTGCTTATTCGAATAAGCACTCCCAAACTTAGCCTAAGCTCCTTATTACTACATGCTACATTCCTGAGTACGTGTGAGTTTCTTTCCTTTCAAATGTTCCAAATGACTGCTATTGGGATACTAATCGAAACTACTTTCCCCTTTTAGATAGTTCTCTCATAT